ATGGCATTCGTCGCGAGACTCTCAAGATGGCCGATCTCTCTCAAGATGTCGACCGTTGTTTAACAACAACCCTTAGCAACGTGTTTGGGGATGTTTTCCCGGAGACGGATACAGCAGATTCAGGAATAACCGCCACAGACGACTCGCTGGGACGCAACATTATTGCATTTTTGTCGCCCAGAAATGATGTCATCTCTAAATCCCAACATCGCAACAGTTTCAAATTACATGCAATTGTCCAAGTATATTAGTGCAATTTAATTTTGACGATTATATATTTCACGATTTTGACACATACATTTCAGGCTTTGACATCTGAGGGGTGATGTCATTGCGAATTAACTACATCGGCGCTTGAAAAGTTTAGATTATACTACATTTTTGTGCATTCGGTTAAATCTCTATCTAGAGGATGATGTCATCGCAAATAGCAACCGTACATTAGCTACATCGGCGCTTGAATAATCTAGAGAAATTAAAAAATCGCATCAGCAATGATCTCCTCCACACTGCAATTTTGCAACGCTAATACGTATTTAAAATATTTTTAATACGTTCAATATTGCATCAACCACTTGTGTAAAAGATTCATATAAAAAAATGTATTTCGCTGAAGGAAGTCACATGAATTATCATGTTCCGATTCAAGACACTGATACTCTGCCGTGTAAGAAGAATGTAACTGGGAAAAATGTAACAGATAAATATACAAAAGAAAGGCTCTCGCAAAAAAACAACAAAGGGCGAGAACGGGCTAATTAAGAGCCAAGCGCGGTAATAATTGCGCAAATATTTTAAACATAGTATTCATTTATTATGAACGTTTTGGTCCCAGGTATCGGACCATCTTCAGCAATTACTATAACGTTCACAATAAATGAGTACTATGTTTAAAATATTTGCGCAATTATTACCGCACTTGACTCTTAATTAGCCCGTTCCCGCCCTTTGTTGTAACAGGTAAGTTTCGATTAATTTAAAACATTTTATACTTTTTCTTAAATAATATTAATTAAAATATTCTTTTTATAGCATTTTATTCGCGCTTAATTGTGCGGTTCGTATACTTGGACGAAGATATGTTTTAACCTCGATATCGTATAAATATTTGGACATTAAAATAATCATTGGAGCTGTGTCTTGCGTGGAATAGATTCTCGGCGATATTTGAGGCAATCAAATAATATTGCCTTTTGAAACGTGGAAATCGTTGATGCAAAAACGTGCGGACATTGAACGACTTCTACAATTGTCTTAAACTCCATTGTGGATTCGAGATTTAACAATCGAGGTGGTTAAAATATCTGATACAAAAATTATAAAAATGGCATTATCCAATAATTCTTTATACATGAAACCATCAACTGTATTATATTTATTCAATTTTGAAAAATATGTATTACTGGCTATGTGAAAATACGCATTTTGTTAATAAAAAATTCAAACAATTTGTAAATGTTTTACAACGTTTACATTTTACAAACGTTATAATATTGCTAAAGTATGTGATGCTGCAAAAGCGATACGTGAAAGTGACATGTTCGACAGCGAATCACTCATAGGTGTGAATTATTGACTTGTGCTATAAATGACATTTTTCACGATGAGATAAATATGCATAAAAGGTTACACCTCACCGATTTTATTGCTACTTAATTATGTTGTAGGGGAGGTTCTTGTGACTAAGTCCCCGCAAGAAAAAAGTGGGGGAAAACATTCATTTAGAAGATATAATAAATTGAAAATTCACAATTTTAATGCTTTCTTTGAATGATAGTGAGTTCCGCCCCCCCCCCTCCGGGAGGGCTCCATTTCCGGAAAATATAACCTAACCCAAATCTATCTCTGATTTAAAACTAAAATTTAAAAGACTAAGAAAGTACTTTAAATATTTACTCACCTCATCATTCAAAGAAAGCATTAAAATTGTGAAATTTCAATTTGTTATATCTTCTAAACGAATGCTTTCCCCCACTTTTTTCTTGCGGGGAATTACTCAGAAGAACTTCCCCTACAATATAATTAAGTAGCAATAAAATCTAATACTTTTATGTACAGTATAATGAGACAAATCAATTAACGCAAAAAAAATAATTGTTTTAAAAAATACATTGTAAATAATTTTCTTAAAAACAATTATTTTTTTATACTAATTAATTAAATACATAAAAGTAAAATAAAAATAAATAAAAATAAAAAAACTGTCAATATTAATAAAAGTAAATCGCCGCATGGTGAATCAGTAAATCATAAAATCGAATGTCAAACGGAAACCTCAATATTGAAGTTCCTCGACTATGGGACGTGTCCCTCTATGGTTGGAAGACCGTGGAGTTAGAAATAGGGTGGTCACAACTCCTTCATCCACGTCTGATATTATAGCAAGATTCTGCATGTCGATATCTAAAATTCGCAAAAGTCAGAGTAACACTGCCCCACAGTCGCGGACACTCGATTAAAATAACTTACGAAAAGGTTCTATTCTTCGTGTGCACAATGTATAGGTGTAAAAAGTCGGATGGTAAAATACAATAAATATATATAATTAATTAAAAATATTAACCAGACACGAGTGAACTGAGCGGAACCGTAGCGGTGTCTAACCGATGACAATTCGAACGTGTCAAAGGCCTTTAAATGTGACGTGTATCTCGAGGACAAAAACAAAGTATATACAGGGTGATTCAAAACAACCTTCTGTCCTTACAATGTCATATACTTGACTTCGATACGCATATGACATACGGCATCAAAGTAGCGCGCTGAAGTCTCTCACCTAATCCCCACTCTGCCCAAAGCTTAGAACATATATAAATGGAAGGGGAATAGCAGGCTGAAAAGTGTCGAAGGAAGTGAGAAAGAAATCGTAGTTGCCTCTCTCTTGTGAGTAACTACACATACAAGCATCGTGTCTGTAGTATACATACTTTTGTGTACACACACATGGCCGCGCATGCGCACTTTTGAGCAAAGTAACTCACAAGAGAGAGGCAACTATGATTTTCTTTCTTACTTCCTTCCGATATGTTTTTCTATCGGGAAACAAAGACATTCCCCTTCCATTTATATATGTTCTAAGGCCCAAAGCTGCGCGGAGCGAGGTCGTTCTCTCCGTGAACGCAGTATAGAGACATTATGTCAAGAGTGTTGTATACAAACATTTGAAGCGTCAAAATCAAACTTGCGAGAGTCTCTCTATTGCAGCCACATATGTATGATGCAGATATTTCGTATCCGTCTGCAAGTTTAGGCTGTTTTTTTGTTTCTTAATAAAAAACATCTTTGAAACCAAGCGCTTGTTTCGAACTGGTTCATTATCAAGGATCTCAATGTTATTCCATTGGAAATCATGGTTTGATTCAAGTCTATGGTCCGTAATGACTGAGCTGTTAGATATATTTCATCGTATATGATTTCAATGTTCGTTTATTCTAGTTTGCAATCTCTACTCGTCTGACCGACATATGAAATTAATAAATGTCAATTGCGCCTTACCTACTGCGCTGGATCCTCATTGCCTTCTATAATTACGGTTTTCGGTAATTCACCTCCTCCTCCCCCTTCCGAATTAGGCGAGTTCGAGAAGGCATTGCAGGATTTCTGCAATGAACTTCCTGAATTGGAGGCCGAATCATCCTATCAATCTTCATCTCTTTCTTCTTCCCTTTTCAAACCAGACAAGTTCGAGATAGCATTAGAGGAGTTCTGTAATGAACTCCCTGATTTGCAAGCCGAATTATCCAATCTTAAAATCATAAACTAAATTTCTAGTATTCTTTCACACTCTCATTCACACAATTTTGTTTTTTCTAACAGATATATTTTTGTAATAATCAGTCAGAAGTTCAATGTTAACAATAGAATCTTGCCTCACCACTCTGACTGATGTCCCTCGTATTAATGTAACACCCGCGAACAAATAAACACTCACACACATCCACACATATTAAATTAACTATTAATGTTTCCCATTTTTTATATACTAACATAATTTAATTTAAACATGAATAAAGTCGTATTTTATTAATTTAAATCAAATTAAATCTTTATTAACCCTCTCTCATTCTTGTTAATAACTTTTTAATAAGCAACGAGCAACGATTAAATTAGAAGAAAAAGTTACTCAGAATTATGTCCTTGACAACATATATCAAGGTCATTGAAATCGATAAGGTCGCCCTTAATCTTAAGTTTTACCGAAAAAGAAGTTTTTAGAAAAGGCCAAGCTTATGATTCACTTCTAACATAAACATGTGCTAAAATTGCTGGCCGTTTACTTAGACCAAGATTCTCCATTAATCGCGTTGGAATTAATGGAAACTGCTACAATATTTGAGAGATAGTCGAAAATTGAAATCGTCAAATTTGCACGCTCTGCGTCTGCAAGATTTGTTCGCCATGATGTTTGCGAAGATGTTGCGCGCGGCTGTTGCTACCTGGAACATCTGCGTTTCGTTCATAGAAATCTCGCGTGTCGAAATTGCTTAGTATCCACGAAGGATCGTGTTGTCAAAATCGGCGATTTTGGACTAGCTAGGGATGTTTATAAGGATGACTATTACCGCAAGATAAATATAATTATTAGAAAAAAATGAAATTTTTTGAGAATATAGCAAATCACTCAAATTTATTGTGAAGAAAAAATTATTCTCCTAAACACGACTAAACTCCTTGATTCCAAGATTAAGCCCGATTAGCGATAAACTCAACCAACAAGAAAATAGAATTGTCATATTCATATCATCCCTGATCTTTCCTCTCCCATGTATTAAAGTAAACAAGTAGAGTTGTGCAAATTAGAAACTTTCACATTGCTTCCTCATCATTTTATCTTACAAAGCTTAAGTTGCTTTAAGCATGCGGATTTTTCAATTTTTGCTTCCTTATAGAGGAAGCTTCGTGAGCGAAATAAAAATTGATTATTTAATTGCGAGTTCTCAATTCTAAATATATAAATTACGCGAAATATGCTCTTCAAAGTTTATTGTCACCATATATGTAATTACATATTATTTATAAACGTTAATTACTCATCAATAATATTAATCATATGAAATTAAACAAATCTTAGAAAGTGTATCTCTTTTTATAGTAGCGACGACTACACAGAAGAAGATGAGTCACAAGTGTAATGCAGCAAATAGAGAATAATGGTCATTTCATTTTAATCAATTATTCAGATTGATGATTTATGATGGTCACCAATCACAAATATGCAAGAGTTAAGTGTCGCTCGATTCAAACCGCACGATACAAATATTTCAGTCCGTCAAGAACGACGTGCACGAATAGTGGGCTTTTAAGACAGCACGCATAGTATATATATATAATATATAAAAAATAATTATCACAGTTGCAGTTTTTAATCAAACAAAAGATATAGAATATGACCTGGTAAAACTTGTCGTATGAATAGTGACAAAAGTAAAAATTTATAATTCAGTAATTTCCTGGTTGTTTTTTCTACCAAATTATATTAAGAGGAACTACAGAGGAAAACTGACAACATTTATATTATTGTTCGATACAACCGAATATATACGTGTCAGTTTATAGCGTCGTCATTGGCTTTCATGAAAAAAGTGAGTGTTTATTAAACAAAAGTTTTATAATTTAATGTAAGATGCATTGTGATTGGTTATGAAGAGAAATTTTGAAAAATAGTAATAGAGAAGAGATCTCATTATTAATGTGCTAAACAAATTCAAAAAATTATACATAAGAAAACATTGATTCGATTAGCACATTTGCTTTATCCAGAATATCGATAGAATCACTATTCATAGCTGAGCTGCCAAGCATTGGGCGGAAACTAATTGAGCGCAAGTATCCACAAGAAAAAAAAATTATTATGTCGAAAATGATATTATGTGTTTTATTAAAAATGTTAATGTTAGCGAGAGCAGACATCCTGTCAAAGTATCCGGATTCAGATTTCATACAGGTAAGAGATTGCTTTGTTGAATAAAATTAAATATTATTATTAATAGTTTATTTGGGTAACTAAAATTGTAAATGATAATAAAATATATGTATTGTATAATAATGAAATAAAACTATACATATACAAGGTATCTGATAAAGAATGTGCTAACGCTCGTGAGCGGATAAAACACAGTAAACTGAACCAAAAAATTCTTTATCATTTTGCGATTTTTGTAATAATTATTGAGAAATTAATTTAAAAAGATCGACCAATTCGCGTGACTATAAGCGCGCGGCGAGAAAGATCGACTCAGAGACATCCCAAAAGTTTGCGTTTGCTAGGCGCGCGAGAAAGGAGCGCTCTACAAATGACAGCGGTTACATACGAGCGGTACATAACGATGGATTCTCGTGGATCTTAGCAACCACACATCAATGGGTTGTTCCTTTTTACTGCGCGCTTATGCTCACACGAATTGATCGATTTTTTTAAATTAATTTCTCAATAATTATTACAAAAATCACAAAATGGTAATGGACTTTTTTGTTCAGTTTACTGTGCTCTATCTGTTCACGAGCGTTGGCACAATTTTTACCAGACACCCTGTATAACACTAGAAGAGTATGTGTAACGTTATGAAAAAAAGGGAATGTATCAATCTTAGAAATTTTGTTTATAAATGGATATTATATAGTACAAAATTAAGCTAAATTTAGTTGATGTAGTAAAACTTGACTGTATCATTGTATCTCTCTCTTTGCTTTTTTTAAAAATAAGTATTTTAATATTAATAAGAGATTTTCTGTTTATTATCTACTATATTAATACATATATACAGGGTGACCCGCAATGACCGCCCACTAAGTACATAGCGTTATTCCTTACCAAAAACTGAGTTGAAAAGTCCTGAACCATTTTTTTTATAACGCTTAATAAAGGAATTATTATTGAGTAAAGTCTTGCTAATATAGACCGACCTTTAGCCAGGCGCACGTCAGTGAGTTGCGCGTCTGGTAGTGTACATGAGCGCTCCGCCGCTATGGCGGTGCGGCAATATTTTTCCTTCGCGCATCCCGCTAGCATGCAATATTTTTACGCATCGTAATAATAGAAATAAATTTTTCTTGTACTAAAAATCATATTCATATACAATATAAAATAACTCAAAAAATACTTAATGAAAAAGTACTTTGTTATAGTGTTTTGAAATGATCTCAAGAAGGGTTATAAGAATATGCGATAAAAAATCAGTTTCTATTAAAAAAATAAAGTTGACCTTAAAATAACCTTGAAAGTCGTCACCTACAAACATTTCTATAACATTGACTTATGTTCCCCTTGAAATACTGCAACTTTTATTTCAAACATTTTTCTCTAGAAACAATATTTTTGGAGATAAAAATTCGTCACGCTTTATTTTGTCCACCCTGTAAAAATACTGCAAGAAAAAATTATTTCTATTATTACGATGCATAAGAATATTCTATGCTATCAGCGGAGCGCTCACGCACACTACCAGGAGCGCGGCTCATTGCGCCCAGCTAAAGGTCGGCGCTGATTAACCCGACTTTACTCAATAATAACTCCTTTATTAAGCGTTATAAAAAAAAATGGTTCAGAACTTTTCGTCTCAGTTTTTAGTAAGGAATAACGCTATGTACTTAGTGGGCGGTCATTGCGGGTCA